TGACGTGCTGCTGCTGCCGCCGAAGCGCGGCAAAGTGGGCAAGCAGCTGGGCCGCAACCGCATCGTGTGCCGCGTGGTGGAGATCAAGCGGCCCTTTGGCGTGACCATGTACCGGCTGCGGAGCGGAGCTGGAGTGGTGGAGGGTATGCATCAGGCCAGCAGGCTATCTAAGGCGCCACCCAGCCTGGCCAGCGAGCTGACCTTCAGCGGCACGGCGCAGCGAGGAGTGCCTGTGGTGTCTCTCAATGTGGCGATGGCGGCGCAGCCCGGCGGCGGCAAGGCAGCCGTGCGCTGCGGCTGCCGCGGCGCCTGCACCCGGAACTGCAGCTGCAAGAAGAATGGTGCGCGGTGTGGGCGGCACTGTGGCTGTATAACCGGTAAGGGTGGCAATTGCAAGAACCATTGAAGAAGTGTGCCTTGTACGCTTTGCCGTCTCCGCTGAAAGGTGCTGCCGCCTGTGGCGGCTTCATATTTCCTGTTCATTTCTGTTGTTCGGTCTCTCTGTTCGTGTTGGTTGGCTTGTAAGAGTTGTATTTCTGACGCTAGAGAGGTGAGATGACAGCGGGAGCGTTGAAGCGTGCATGCCATCACGTGTGCAAGCAGCCCCGCTCCGCCCCGCTCAACCCTCAAACATGGCTCTATGGGGTCAGTTCACGTATGGGAGGGGAGCGCCGCGCGGGCTGCCAGGAGCGAGCGGGGGCGGGGGTTGCCCAATCGGGAGGGTGCCACATCAGGGGGCAACACATCCAAGAAATGCCCAAGAAATGCCACAAATGCAAATCCATCTTGCTCTTCTCTAAACAAAAGTCGCCATCAGTTCGGGGCATCAGGCCCAGAGGCCAGGCCAGGGTAGGGGAGGAGGCGAGGAGGAGCAGCAGCAACGATGGCCGCTATCCCGCCCGTTGCCCAGGGCGCCGCCGACTGTCTTTTGAAGAAGGTCCTTACTCACCGGGAATTTGATAGCCATGTCACCGAGGTGGGCTCATTTTTCGGTGGCACAAGCCAGGCAGCTTTTCTGTGGCAAAACCTGGCAGCGTGTCGAGGGAGGGGAAACCAACCGACGCCCTGGCCTGCAGATCACCTTCCCGGCGCCCGTCGTGGTTACCGCCGCCCGGTGCGGAGCAGTCCCGTCGAGCGCCGCCGGGCACCAGCAGACGCTGCTGCTGCTGTTTGCCCAGGATGCGGGAGCACCTGCGTCTGCACGCTTTCTGCAGCTGTGCCCCGGGTTTGAGCAGCCGCAGAGCGGGACAAGAGTGGTGCAGCTGCAGGTGGGCTCTCGCTAGTCATTCCGCTGCAGCAGGGTGCCATGGCTTGCCCGTTTGCCTGCTGCTGATGCCGTCACGCCCTCTGTTGCTGCTAATGCCGTCATGAGTTGCCACGGCATTGCCTGCGCCAGCCCATTCCCTGCACTATTGGCAGCAGGGGCACTGACCCCGCGCATTGCCTTGCAGCCTTGTGCAACTACGCGCGTGCTGCTGCGCGGCTGGTATCAGACGGTGCCATTGTCGCTATACGGCTACCCACTGGAGACGGCGATGAGCGCTTCGCCCCCCCTCCCCCAGCGCCGCCTGACTCTGGCAGCTGCGCTACAGTGGCTCCAGCGGCAGCAGCAGAGGGAGTTGGTGGTGGCACAAGCAAACGCTGCATGCTGGCGGCATGCGCCGCTGCAACCAGCGGTTGCAGCAGTGCTGTCCCAGCTCGTGGCGTACTGGGAAGTGGTGGGCACCTCGGAGCGCCTCATGGCACTCACCCCGCCGCCCACCACGCTATTCGAAACTGCGGCCACTGTGGCCGACTCGGTGTGCGCGCAGCTGGTGGCTGGCAAGTTTGGGCTTGAGCCAGTGCCGCTGGCGGCTGCGCCAGAGTCGCAGCAGCAGCCGCCACAGCAGCAGCAAGCCAAAGAGCCGGATGGGGGCCACGCGGCAATGGCAGATGCTGCAGAGTCTGATGCAGCAGGGAAGGATGTTGAAGGCCAGCTGCAGCCTGCAGTGGCAGCTGCTGCATCCAGCACTACCGTAGCAGCAGCTTCGCAGCACAGTGATAACCTGCTGGATGCAGCGGCAGACTTGGTGCTGGGGTGGTGTGGCATGCTTGGCGCAGGCGCTGCAGGGCGCACCAGTGCGGCAGTGCGTTGCAGCATGGTCGGTCTGGCAGCAGCAGTGCTGTTGTGCAGCTGCGGTACAGGCGCGCGGCGGATGGTGGCACGGTGGGGTGTGGTGCTGCTGGACGATGTGATGACGATGCCGGCGGTGCGCATGCTTGAAATCCATTTACAATTGCAATTGGCTCCTCGTTCGCTTTTGTGTTCTGCTCCAGCCGGCTCACGTTCACCTGTCTACTCTCTGACCACTGGCCTGCAGGCGCCTCCCTCTTTCATTCGCTATTCGGCCACCGCCTGTCTGTTGATTACTCGTTGCTGTGGCACATTGGGTGCTGCTGCCCTGCTGGGGCTTTGGAGACCAAGGCATGGCATCGTCTGGCAGTTGTCGCCACCGTCTCCTGAGCAGCAGCAGCTGGCAGCACTGGCATGTGCCGTAACTACTCAGGTGACGGGCACAGAATTGGTTGCTCCTGCGGGTGAGGCAGACTTGGAGCAGCACCCGTATTCATCACACTCGGAGGGGGAGGATGCCGAGGGACATGGACAGGGGGCGCGCCACACAGGGCAGCAGGGAGCAGCTGAACAGCATGACCTGCTGCATCAGCAGTGGCAGCAGGAACAGCGGCAGCGAGAGGGCGAAGAACTGCTGTATGGCGATAGCGGAAGCGATAGCGGTAATGGCGGTGGGCGTGGCTTTGAAGGTGGGCCGGCCTGCGCTTGCTGGAGCCTATGCAGCACCCCTGCTGTTGTTTTGCGTTCAACACACTGCTCCTCTTCCTTCGAGTTTAGCTACCAATGTGTGGTGCAACTTGTTCACCCATTGCTGTCTCCTTGCGCTGTGGCTGCTCTCCAGAGAATGCTGATGGTGTGCCACACGAGCTAGGGGGCTGTGCGGCAGGGCAGGCAGAGCAGCAGCCAGCAGAGTACGTGCAGGAGATTGCTGTTGCCGGCACAATCGAGCATCCTAACGATTCGCTACACCAAGAGCAGACAGACATGGAGGCAGCAGCTTTGGCGCAAGCCGCAGACATGGAGGCAGAGGAGTTTGGTGGCGATGTATATGCTGATGCAGCGACTCAGCAGCAGCAAGAACATGTGGACATCGTGCAGCTTAGTGCTGCTCCAGAGGCCCAGCCTCTGCCTGCATCGCAGCCTGGCCCAGCATCCAATTCTGAGGAGGATGACCTGTATGGCGGTTTGGACCTGGGGCTAGGTGCCACCATCCCACAAATCGATGGTGCGGCGGACTCGCCGCCCCGGCGGCGTCACAGCCGAGGCGCAGACCCTGACGAGCGCTGGGAGATGGGTGGCGCTGATGGCAAAGGTGTGAAAGCCAGACAGCCGCCAGCCAGTTTCAGGCCGGCACCTGCACTGCCTTGACCTTGGGTAGCTTGGTCTGTTGTGGGCTGCTGCATTGATCTGGGGACAGGGAAACATTCCATTGTGGGTATTGTGCTGCGGTAATTTGGGAATGCTGTGTGATATTGCTTGCTCATTTATTCCTCGCTCACTGTTGACACATACAGATGGCAAGGAGTGCAAGCGCCGCCGAAAAGACCGTGACGAGCGTAGCACCGAGCGGGATGCGAAGCGGCGCAAGGACAAGGACAACAGGTGTGGTGCCGACTTTGACTGCAGCTCACCTAAACAACCGAGGGCTGAGACAGTTCGCTGTTGAGCCAGGGCACTTGGGGGGGCAGGTGGCATTGGCTGCTGTTTGGCAAGGGCTGCCAGCAAGTTGCTTGCTGCAGGCTTGACAACAAGCAGTCTCGAGAGCGGCGTGGCAGGTGGTCAAGGGGCACGGAGCATGGGGGCAGGATAGATGATGTGGGGCACATCATCGACAGGTGGGTCTCGGCAACACTGGGGCATTGCCGTTGCTCGTTAATGTACCTGAGTGTTTTTCGTTTGCCTTTCATTGATCTGAAACTGTTGTTGTGTTCCAGGGAGCCCGAATGGGCCTTGGGGCGGGCTGAGCGTCAACGCCACAAAGCTGAGGAGGAGCAACGACAGCGGGATGCAGTGAAGCGACGGCGGCGCCGCCAAGAGGCAGATGACCAACTGCGTCGCAGGCGGCAGCAGGAAGAAGAGGAGCGTTGGAGGCAGCAGCTTGAAGATGATGAGCAGCGGCGCCGGTATCAAGAGCAGCAGCGGCGGCTGGAACAGGACCAGCGGCAGTTAGAGCAGGTGGAGCAACAGCGGCAGCAGCAGCGTGGCGAAGAGAAGCGGCGGCTGGAGCAACAGCGGGAGAAGGAGAAGCGGCAGTTCGAGCAGCGGCAGCAGGAAGAGGAGCAGCGGCGACAAAAGCGGGAGCGCTTTCCACTCGCTGAGCCTAATATGCGTGTGCGGCAGCATATGGAGCCTGAAGGCATGCAGACACGCACCAACCAAGGTCCCAGCCGGGAGCAGCCTGCGCGGGAGCTGTCGAGGGCGGAGCGCAGCGCCATGGCTGGCCCCACTCCCCCGGGGCCTTCACAGGAGCAGCAGCAGCGCATGCGCCAGCAGAACGCTGGAGCCGCAGCCCCGCTCGATGAGGCGGAGAAGTGGGACCTCTATGAGCAGCAGCAGCGGTGGCGCATGATGAATTACTGGCACTGTAAGCGTGCTCAACTGACCTGCTGCTGCGCGAGCTCGTATGTCTGCCAGCACGTGGAGTGCAGGCATTCTCGTCCATGTCCGTGTCCCTTTGTTCTCACGCCGCACTCAAACATGTAGTGTGACCACCTGCTGCAGTGAAGGAGAGTGCCTACGGGGGCTGTGCCCAGCACATGGCTCGGCACCTGCTCGAGGATGTGCAGCCGCAGCGACTGACCCTAGTGGTGCGCCAGTTGCTGCACCTGTTGCGTGCACACGAGGCCGCAGCCACTTTCGAGTCGGCTGCAGAGAAGCTGGTCACGGCACACCAGCGGCAGCGGCCACCTGCATCACCTGAGATCAGTCTGCTGGTTGCGGACTGCTGCAGCAGCCTGCAGCAGCTTGCCAAACTGCTGGCAAAGCCGCTGCCGTTAAGCAATACAAACAACGGCAGGCGAGGGCTGCATCCTGCCACTGTCGACCCACCGTCTTCCCTGTTCGAGGCGATTAGCAGTCGGCGCTTGCTGTCACTCCTAGCGGCTGTGTTGCATGTGCCCATGGCACACCGTTCAGTGCTGGAGAAGCAACAGCTGCCGACACCGTCTGCAGCGGCGCAGCAGGCAGTGGTTGTTGAGGAGGCGTTGCAGCAGCAGCTGGCAGCGGGTGCCAAGTCGCTGCTGGCAGTGCTGGCCAGCAGCCGTAACGGTTGGCACATGCTGCTGAGCGATGCGGCTGTTTTGGAGCAGCTGCTGCTTGCGATCGACCCAGGCTGTTTGGCGGCAGAGTGTCCTAACGAGGGCGCCTCCATGCTGCAGCACCTGCTCATTGCGGAGGCTGCTGTGGTGCAGCTGTGCAGCAGCAACCTGGAGACGGAGGCGGCCGAGGTAGCGGCAGAGACAGCAGCGTCACTGCTGCACGATTGTGGGGCCAGCGGGCGGCGGGCACTTGTGCAGGTGCTAGCATTGCAGTCGGAGGTTGCGGTACCGCGCCTCTTGCTCATGCTGCACCTGCACTGCACACTTCTGCGTGCAGCTAGCAGCACCACGGCTAGTGGCACGATTGGCCTGGATGGCTCAACAGCTGCCCTTCAGCAGCAAGATGGGCTGGACTTTGATTTGCTGTTGGCGTCGGCGAGCGCCTGCATGCATGCACCCCAGCTGGTGCTGGCGTTGGCCACTGCCACGCACGCAAACCTGCTGGGCTGCTGGCAACAGCATGCGGTGGCTCTGCAGTTAGCGGCATCGACAGAGCTAAGCGAGCTGGAGGCGCTGCAGGCAGATGCAACGGCGTCGGTTGCAGGGTTGGGTGCCACCAAGTCGGCGCTGGCCAGCCTGAAGGGCGCGACGGCAGCGGTGCTGGCGCTGCAACAGCAGTGCAGCATCTCCGCATTATTCACCTATCTGGGGGCGGAGCTGCCAGCATTTGGGGTCCCACCTGCGGTAGCAACCGCTGAAGAGGACAGTGGCAGCGGCGTGCAGGCCCCTGCTGGCACAGTGTGCACTGTGCATTGGACAGCAGTGGAGGCGCTATTTTGGTGAGAGCAGTGCTAGCAACAACAGTGAATGGTGCTGCTGATTCAAGGTAGTGAAATACTAGAACGCCTGTCTCTGCCCCATGCAGTGACCCGGAAAAGCTGGCGTGCTGCGAGCAGCGCCTGCGACTGCTTGCGTCCATGCTTTGGTCCCCCAGCTCTGCCGGGCGTGCTACTGCCTATGCCGCCGATACGGAGGGCGCGCTGTTTGTGCTGCTGCGGGCCGTCCTCACCGGTGCTGAGCTCGCTGAGGCGTCAGCTGCTGACAGCAGCTGGCAGGTGCGTCATGAGATGAGTGCATACAAGGCCTTGGACTGCCCAAAGGTCAGGAAGGTTGCTTAACAGCAAGGGTGGTTACTCTGCTGCATGCAGGTGCTGGCAGGGCACTCCATCGATGTTGGTGAAGCTGCTGCTTGCCGTCGTCGAGCGCTGAGCTTCCTTGCAAGCGCAGCTGCGGCTATGAGCTGCCTCTTGCAGCATCTTCGGGGGTGAGCACTGCCTGGGGGCATTGTTTTGCCTGTGTGCTATCATTCAGAAGGCTGGTGTGTGTTTGCTACTTCCATCACCCAGTTCGCGCTTTTGCCATTGCTGCACCCGCTGTTCTGCCTGCCCCTGTCCATTGCCTGCTGGCCCTACCCAACGCCCCGCCTGCTCATTCACACTGCGCAGATCCTCGTGTCCCGTTAAGAGCAATAGCCTGCTCGTCGGCCTGCTGCGTGCTCATGCGGCACTGTGCTGCCAAGAGGAGAGCCTGGCGTGCATGCTTGGGAGCACAGAAGGGGAGGGGGGCGCAGGCCCTGCATCACAGGCGGGGACGACGGGCATGGAGGCAGCCCTTGCTGCGCGCTACCATCTCGCCAGCTGCTTACGATGCTACGTCGAAGCTGCGCAGCCCTGGCAGGCAAGCTAACATCGATGCCGAACCGACGAGCCTTGTTGTGCTGCATTGCCAGGAGCTGACGGATACTCCCTGATCCTGGCTTGCCTGTGCTGTGCAGCCCCTGCTGTTGCAGCAAGTGTTTTGGGGCACTCCAGCGGCAGGACTGGAGACTGGCCAGGTCACGGTGCAGGTGGGTGGAGTTGCAGAGGTTCTTGCATGCCTGTTTTTAGGAGGGAGATGGTTTGTTTCTCATGTTGCCAGCATGCACAACAGCAGCACCCATGATGCTGATGTGTGCGTGTGTCCCTTGGCTGCCCTCCTGCTGCAGACGCCTGCTGAAATGTTTGCTACAGCGTGCCTGCTGGGTGATCTCTTCCCAGCTGAGTGGCCTACAGCAGGGAGCAAAGCCACCCAGGTCTGCACCCCTGCAGCTCGGTTGCTGTTGTTGTGGCGGGTCAGTTGGCAGATGCCTTTGTCCACCTGTGCAGGCCGTTTACACTCAAGATACAATTACCAACTGGGCACTACCACCTTGCCCGCAGGCCCCCCCCTCGGACCGCAAGTACCGCGCGGCCCTGGCTACCGCCATCGAGCCCTGTAGGGCCTCCTTCCGCCATCTCATTGCTGCAGCACTGACCAGTGAAAGCCGACTGCTGCGTGCGGCAGTGGTGCGGGTTCTTGCACGTGCTTCAGGTGGGGTGGGGAGTCGGGTCGGTCGGTGTGTTGGCCATCAACATTCCCGATGGCGCGCTCCCCTCCAGTGCTTTGTCTTTTCTGCTTAACCAATCCCCCTGGAGCCCATGGAATGCCACATCCTGCATCGTCCATTTCCTGCTGCAGGCCTGGGAGGTGGCATGGGCCCATTTCTAGTACAACCGCTGCTGGAGGAGCTGCAAACAGTGGCGGAGTCACCCGCCCCGCTACATGATGGGCGCAGGCTGCTGGAGGTATGTGCCCAATGGCCTGCACCCACGCTCCTTGACTGTAGCGTGGTGCATCACAGTAGTTGACAGAGACGGGCAGGCGTCGCACTGCACTGCTGAGCCAGTCCCTTGGCACAGGACCAGTGCATGTGCCAGCATCAATGTGGCCTGCGCTTCCTGCCTGCTGCCGCTCCCCATGGTTCTCACACCGCTTCGCACCTGCTGCCGGGCACCAGGTGATTGTCCCGCTAGTGTACCGTCCCGCCATCAAGTCTGCCATGCTGGCGGCCCCCTTCACCTCCACCCTGGCACAAATGCTAGGTGCGCCTGGCGCAGGCAGGACACAGCTGTTACGCTCAGCAGCGCAAGAAGAAGCCCTGCAATTCATGTGCAACACTAGGGCAACATATAAATCTCCGAATGTGGTCTCTCAACCTCTGCCCCTCCCCGCGCCTCCGCTGCTGCAGGTGTAATGACAGGCAAGCTGTCGTCGCCGGATGAGAGCAGCGAAGCGCTTCACGTGTGCACCATGGCCATGGAGGCAGTTGTGGTCCTGTTCAACCACGAGGTATGCCGGTGTTCAGTTGGTTGGGGCGCATCGCTCTGCGGCAGCCAAGATCTGCTTTTTCTTGCCCCGCCGCTTGCTGTGCGATTGTGCCTGCAGGTGTGCCTCAACCCGCTGGCCTCGAAGGAACAGCGGCAGCTACATGACATGCCGCCAGTAGCAGAGGTGCGCTGCTGCTCTGTGACACGTGGGAGCAGGCCAGGCTCCTGCTGCAGGACAAAGGGAATTCGAACTGCGCGATGCAATTCCCGTGATGTGCAGGCAGTCCCCATGGCACGGGCGCTGTTGGAGCTCCTTCCTGGCATGGCCTCGATCACCATGATCGCTCACCACGTGCTACGCCTG